CAGTCCTCTACCTCTTCTCGTGTGAACTCTCCCTGCAACCCGTCTACATCACTACATTCCCTCCGAGATCTTTCAACGTTTTCCTCTGCCCACGAGTTGATTTCCTTCTCAAACTCCGAGTCGAAGTTGTCGTTGGTGGTGGGTGTCCCAAGTTTGCGGTAGTGCTCTACTAGGACTTCCCGCTTTCCTTTAGAACTGCTGACCATCTTACCCTCGGCAGATCGTAGTGTTGCTATTCCCGTGTCTCCCCCTATTTTCTTGCCCACTATCCCTTGAATTCCTACCCACATTTGCTTCATCCCCCCCTCAACATCTTCGTTAGTTTTTTGGACTACTTCCTCCCACAACGCTTTCTTCTTCTTCACCACCAACTCCTTGACCCTCTTTCTATTTTCAACATACTCCTTCCATCCTGCATCGGTTTTCCCTGCCGCATTTTTTGCGTGTGACTCTGTACGTACCCGAATTGCTTGCTTGATTTCTTCGTCCCACCAATTCACTGCTCTCTTACAAACTATCAACTTTCTACCGAGAACTCTACTTGTCGTTGTGTTTACCAGCTTTTCCCACCCTTCTATGATTCTAGATCCGGCCTGGTCCCGACCTTTGGCATCCTTCGTTGTGCCCATTGCCTCTATCAACTCCGAGAGTTTCTTGTCGTTTACAGCCATCTCTTCTTGAAACTCTACCCTCGTTGGGGGAAGGGCATGGCCATGCACGCCCCTCTTGCCGTGTAGCAGCACGACATGCACAAAATGAGGGAATTCCGTTTTTGTTTCTGTCTCGCGTGAAATCACCCCCCAAAGGCACGAATCACCGAAGACTCCCACGACACTCACTAGCACGGTGCTTTTATTGACACTTGCGGGCAGCGGTCGAGTTGCATCTGCTCTAGTACCGCATGATGCCACGGGCTCATCACCTGAAATACACCGCGCTTACCGGTTGCAGAAAGCGGAGAGGAAGATGATAGCGGAGAGGACGAAGAGGAAGGAAGCGGAGACCAGCAAGACATGGACGAAGATGATGATGATGATGACGACGATGACGATGACGAATGAACATCTTTACACAGATAGATTATGTTATCGTTAGGCTGTCTTGTCGCGTTGTGGGCAGATACGTACGTGTTCCGGATGGAAGCAGCCTTGCTGCTTGCGTTCAATTCGTGGTAGAGAGGCTAGCGAAATTGGCGTTAACTGTCGTAGCAAGCTCGACGACCGATGAAGAGTTTTCCTCCACCGTTGTCGGCATTTTTGTTGCGGGCGTTCTTTCTGAAATGATTTTGCAGGCGGGGAACAACCGCAGAGAGCTATGACATCGAATTTTTCAATTTTTCTACTATTTCGTGCATCGGCCCCCCTAAGGTAAAGGGATTGATTGCAGTGCAGTGTCTGTTCTTGCGGAAACACGCGGCTTCTGCGCGAAATAATGTCAGCGATATCCTCGACAGTCCTTGAAGCTGTGCTTTTTTCTCTAGAGGCAGAGAGTGTTGTTTTTTTGTTTGCAACTGGACATCTGCCAAACTTTGTTGTCGCTCAGCCTACGGGAGTATTTCTCTGTAATACTATTTGAACCCGCACCTTATTCTCAGACATTGCGAGTGACATCGCACCGTTGGACAAGAAAAATGGTTTGACGTGTGGCAAGACTCAGCACGCGCAAGCATCGATGATACGTCTTGGTTGTATGCATACGTCGTGCATAAGGGTGGACTTGCTAGCGTGCCATTCTCTGAGCGTAAGACGACCGGCATCATCCCGTCTTCTTGTTTTCCACCTTGGTCGTTAAATGCCATCCGGCATCGTTTTTTATTCCGTGCGCGGGTCAATACCTCGACACAGATCCAGAGTTGTCCAAACAATCCTGTCTTGAGGCGTGGCGGGCGAGCTTGGGTTTGGCTGCTCAAAGCGGTCGTGCTCGCGAATAGTCCTCCCACGGAAAGCGCATCAGATATTTAGGATCTTCCTAGAGTCGATGCTTCCCGAAAAGGGCGAACACACTTTTGGCAACGCTTGGAAGGGGATTCACAAGTCCCTTCATCATAACGGTTTTCTTGCAACATTTTACGCCTTTGACTTTTCCAACGCGACGTTTTTCACTCGAATATATCCAACCTGTGACCTACGGTACCGACAGCACTAGCTAGCATTATCTAGATCAGTAGGGTTCGGTTTTCGTCTTGCCATCTGATTCAGTCAGCCACTCTGCTGCGTGACCGGGCATCATTATTCCTACAACAAAACTTCCGGTCCGCCTATACTCTTTGAATAAAGCTGAAAGGGCGAAAGTTTGCCCACGACTACGCTACACGTACCTATCGCCACAATCAAGGGTCACCTTCACAGTCGAAGACAGTATCCACCCCTCTACATAATTTCCAGTTCCCAATGATTTACGTGTCCTCTAAACGGTACCGTACAATGAACACCAAACTGAAAACGTGAGATGCCTGGACTACTATTGTAGCACCTGTTCTACGGTCTACAGCAGATATTCACACACTCGCGCGGCAACCGTACACTGTCTATGGTCGCCGTTCCACGAACGAACACGTCCCAACTGCCAAGTACGCAACACACGACATCAATCCACCCAACGAGGAGGCTACCACACATAGACTAAACTACATGCGAGGGATTGGACGATAAGTTTCACTCGCGTCCCTGCTGTATTCTCGGAGCGTCACGACTTCACCCTCGAACCTCTACTATTAAACTGTTGTCTTGACTTTCTACGGGCGCAATCCTTTGGAATCCACCTACCCTTGAAGGAGTGATGATGACGTGATTCGACGTGACCATCCAACAGCCGCTCCCGGTGATCGAGAAAAAAAAAGTTGGTCGGTGCACAACAACTGGCCGAAACATACCAAAATGCCAGGCCCGTCGAAAAAACAAATTTCACGCCGCGTGGGCAAAGCGATAGACTGCTGTAGTTCGACACAAGAAACACGGCCTTGAAGAACTTTCCAAACACCCTCCGATTGGCTTCATATAGCTTGTGCTTGCTTGGAGTGGAACATGTTGGATGGCGAAGTTCTTCCGTGCAGCTTCGACCTGCTCGGAAAGTCTTTTGAGAGGTTGAACCGACCTGCTCGGAAACGCTACACACGCTGCCGAAATGCCCCCCCGCTAGAATGCCGTATAGTCTACAAGTACGTGAGTTTTACAAATGGCGTGTACGTGTAGTCTACAGTAGTTTCCCGGACAACTTTTGTGAGGCGGCGCACCAGTCAGTGCACCTCCTCACAGCGAGACGAAAACGGCGACGGTTTGGTTGAGGCAAGCAACACTGCCACCCCGTCTGCCCTCACGCTCAGTACCAGTGCTCCTCCGGGCACATCACTCCCACTAACGGGCGGTCGAAGTTGGGGCTGTCCTTGGAGCACTGCCTGATGGCCTCTCCGAAGATGAGGTGGAAGTCTGTGGTGAAGTGGATGCCGTCGTAGAAGATCTTGTTCGAAGGGTCGTCGCACTTGGTGATGGCCGGCTGGTCCACAAAGCACGTCGCGCACGGGGTAGTCGAGTCGGCGCAGAGCGTGCACTCCTCCTGGCAGTCCGGGTTGCGCAAGGCTTGCGTCCCCATGATCTCGGCGGCGTCGTCCACGAAGAAGTTAAACTGGATGCAGCTGTCGGCCAAGAGGGATCCTTCTCCGGGCGTGAAGCCGAGGTCCAAGAAGATGGACTCGTCGTCAACAAGCGCCTGGCGGGTGACGTTGGATGCGGGGGGGGGAGGGGGTAGACTATGAGTTAAGTGAATGTTCATGGTCCATCTTTCTACAAAGGAAAATATATACTTCATGACTCTGATTATCAAATGCGTTGTGTCGAAGTGTCTCGGGCGCCATCGATCGACAGCGTTCTAACGTGTTCTGGACGCCAGAATCCATGTCGCGATTTCGCCTTCTTCGACATCTGTGATCAATAGCCCTGCGACATTACGGCACCTGATGTTTGTTTCTCTTCTAGAGTCTCCCCAGGACTCACCGCGAACAGAGTGTACATGTCCAGCATTCGCACTTGACCAGCGTACTTGGCAACCAACAGTTCGGCCCCGCTGCGGAGGGACAGGGCGACCTGGTCTAAAACAGTTGCGGTTTCCGTACCGGCAATGCCCTGTGCGTGTCGTCGAGAACGCAGCAAGTAGGAATCAGCAGTTAGTTGATTGATACGCACCCAGCGCCTGCCGACATCGGACTGCCACATGTAGACCCTAACCCTAACTCCGGCTAGCCGATTCTAGACTAGACTATGCTTTACTCAGTGTGTCTCCCTATATATAAAAACCTGCGTAGGCTACCGCTCTGGCAGCGCCCGTGCTCAACATCGTCTGCGATCTCGAACATCCAGATGGGCATGCAGATAGTTCAAGGCAGCCACCTTACTTTTGTAGTCCGACAAATATGAATGTGCACAAGAACGAAGCCATATCATTCTCGTCGCAGCCTTAAGAGGCCGCGTCGTCGTCCTGTTCATCGTCGGTGCCGCAATGTGTTTGGTAGGCGTTGAAAGAATTCGATAAACTCGTCAGCACTCACAGCCAGCCCCTTGGGAGATCCGACGTTGGCGAGGAGAATTCTCCCGGTGACGCCAGCGTCGATCAGCCTGCCGATCCCCTCATCCCAAGCACCGAGCACTTCCTGTGACGCATACGACAAAAGGTGAGCGTATGCACATATTGGAAGAAGGGATGAGCGGGTTTTGCCAGAGCGTAGAGCTCGCCTTTAGCCTGCAGAGACTTGAAGCAGGAATGCGGCTCACACCATATCACTCGAAGCTCACATCATGCCTACAACGCCGGAGCTCCAGGTTGCAGCTGGAGAGCTAAACGCTCACAAGGGTAAAGCATTCCCCATTCGGAATGCACGGAAGATTGTTCTCGTGCTTAATGGCAGGCCACGATGAACGAAACTGACGCAGCGCGTGTCGATGTACCAGCAGAGAGTGGCGGCGGTAGCGACTGCAGTGGCAGCACCAGTGGCAGCACCACCCACCTCCACCGCCACCGTCACTATTACCAACCGTTCCTCCACAATCAAACCTTATTCCTGCGATCAATCGTCAAGTCAAGTGATACATCCATCCTAACCTCGATCATGGGGGCGAAGGTGGGTACCGGGAGGCCGCTGTCGTCGAGAACTGGAAACCCGGTGGTGGCGTTAACCTCGAAGACCTTGTCGAAGGCAACGGGGTCTTCGTAGCCCTCGCCCCCAATGGAGTAGCGGGTGATGGCCTCTACTACCCTGTTCAGCTCGTTTGTCCCGATGAAAATAACGTGGGTGTAGTCTGCATGCACAACGAGGCGGACAGACCATGGAAGCAGTTAGTTGTGCAATATCAGGCACACATGGGAGGCAGTTCTTTGTGTGTCGAGACTTGCGAGACAAGCTCGACAGGGACGGACAAACATTCCTGTGGTTCTCAGAGCAGCCCTACCAAATTGCTTTTGCGAAATCATGCAGGGTATGGCATCAATCTAGATCTGCATAGGTCGCGGTTGCAGGAAGCTATCAGCCTCATCAAAACTATACAGCATTGACCCTGATGGTGTCAAGTGCGCAAAAGGGAATGTGTTGTACTGTAGGTCGAAGTAATCTCCTGCTGTAAATGAAAACGGCACGCGCTCCACAAAGGAAACCCGAGTTCAACTTGAAGGCCTGACAGCGAGTTCTATATCGTCGAGAGTTGGGGCGGCAACATGACTGTTCTTACCTAGAGTTTCGTCCGTAGTTGTGTTGGCATCGTCGACGATTTCGTAAAAGTAACGGTCGATCTGTTCTTCCAGCGTCTGCAAAGAACGTGAACGGTTGACAGGGCAGTCGATCAAGTCTCAAAAGTCGTCAGCACGCACCAAAAGTCGGGTTCTGGTACAGGAAAGGAAGAGATAAGCGCAACAAACGACCAGGCGATCATGCATCAGACGCGTGTGAACGTTGGCTTCATCTTGCTGTGTTTTCTGTATATGTCTCTCCCTTCCCTTTTCTCCCTCTTTCTGAGCCTCTCTGCTTGTATCTCGACGATTCTGACCCTCCCTCTCCCCTGGGCATAAAACCTCGCCAACGTGTTGTTTCAACGGAGGCAAGTGTAACAGCATACACTCAAGAGCCCCCCCGCTCGTCGTTCTAGTCTTCGACTCATCCTACGACATGGCGGTGGCCCCAGCAACAGGCCTGGGGTGTAAAGCACCTCCTTTTTTTCGGCGTGTGCATCAACAGTATCGAATAGCCTCACCGCCGTGGGGAAGTCTTCCCCCTCCCCGGTGTACCCGGTGCACCTCTCGCGAGAACGGAACGCGTCCGTGGCGGACCCTGAACTCGTCGCAAAGTTGTGCTCCTGATCACCCGGCGTATTCCATGCGAAACGGTTGGTAATTGAGGCGGGACAGCGCATGGTCCGTCATGTGCGTTCGTCTCACCTATTATCTGACGCCAGTCTGCACACCTTTCGGTATACATTTCTGACGTAAAAGCCCGGGTCACCGGGAAAAAAGAGAGATGCTATGAGGAACACATTTGCCTGCGAAGGTAACACGAATCAGTGAACCGGCATCTGAGTTTGTAACTGTGGTAGACAATGCGCATCGAATGCGCATTCTCCAGCGTCTGATGGCTCCACATCGTGCCAGCGTTCTCTGTGATGCTCCATGCGAGGGTGAGGGCGCTAAGCAGCGGTGAATTCGAGTAGAAACGCTTTGGGGGCTCACGCAGGATATGGCGAGCGCTCCGGGTCTCCCACACTTTCTGCAGTTTTCCCAAACGACCCGTCCCATGGGCCGCCCATGCGCACCCCGTTAGGCCCATAGGCAGCCCATGGGCAACCCATGGGCGGCCAATGAGAGCCTTTCAACCGAACCAGTGTACTCCTACACAAAAGACTATCTGCTTTGGAACGGGCACTATACCCTAACGCAAACCCTATAACCCTAACCCCAAGCCCACACGATACGTGCTATTAGGTTGGCGCTGGTGGCTAAGTTCTAGGTTGATATGCCGGTGGCGAAGTTCTAGGTTGAAGTGCCCACGGTGGGCACTTCGGTGGGCACTTCATGGGCAGCCCATAGGTGACCCATGGGAGTCCCATGGGTCGTTTGGGAAAACTGTCAGTAGTGTGGGAGATTGAGCGCTCCTGACTCGAGGGAAACAACACCGCAAAGCAGGCGCCGCCGCTATTCACACCATCGTCCCGGTTTCAATGCCAAAACGTTGAGGCTGAAAAACACGCGACGAAGACCTCCAAAGAACGGTGGCAAAAATATAGGCGTGCTCATGGAAAGTTGTGCTCAACACCTACTGTAGAGCTTGCAGCAGGCCAACAGCACAAGCTGAAGTTGCCAACAGCCTGTGCATCACTCACATCGGGGATACGAAGCCACGTCGGCCACGCTTTTCCATTGGACACGGAGCCTTCAAACGGCATGTACGCCGCCGTTTTCTCCTGCGGACAGTAGGAAGAGCACAATGAATAGCAACGACAGCAGTTGAGGGGGCGCGACATGCGTCTGCTACGGGTACAGGAGAGAACAACACACGGGTGTAGAGAGCTACCACCGTCGGCATTGTCGCAACAATATCACTTCTGCTCCCTCTCGGGTCACTATCCGCGAGCCCAACCCAGGAACCACCAGGAGAAGGCAAACACCTCCCGCCCAAACGAGCGTTTGGACATCACGGCCGTGCTTGGCACAAAGCCTCTGCGAGGCAACACAGGCAAACATTGACGGACGAAGACAAAAAAATATTGACACGTATTGTCCATGGTGTGTTTGCCTGTTTGCTTTGCCTCATTATTTTGCGCGTATAGACTAATCAAGAAGGGTCACGTGTTGATGCAGCGGTCTGCGCTTTGCTACTACTGGAAAAGCCTGGTTATCGAGAAAATATGCAAACGTCATATTTCGAAGAAGCGGCAGCGGCAAACACACATATCGGCTAGCACCCATCACCCCGAAATAGCACACATCGCCGCCATGGGTGCTGGAGCGATCTCCCGGCCGTCCCTCGCTATGACCCGTTCCGAAGTACCTTCTGCACGCTTAGTCTACGAAATCGGCGAGACTTCATAAAAAAATGATAGGACTGCCTCCAGAACAATCGCTCACGTCACTGTCCGGCCCGTCATACAGTCGTTTCCACGGGAAGGGCCCGATCCCGTCGTCCTCAAACTGGAAGCTGGCCGGGGCGTTGAACCTCCTTCCGGTGTCCGCGTTGGAGTCACCGAACACCACCATCTTTTCGTGGTTTACAATACAAGCACAGAGAACAAGGATTGCGAAGGTCGAGAAGAGGACATGTTTTGGTCACCGGGTGCAAACTTGCCGAAGAAACTTCCCGAAGCCCCTGCAGGATACCCAACCAAATATTTCAGCGAGCGCACTAGTGAAGCCTTGCTTCAGCGGAATTGCAATGTCGCCAGAGCAGTTGCAATGTCTATACCGGCTGCGAAAAACCAGCGGCACTGGATCAGTATTCCACTATGAAAATTTTACTACCCACCACCCATGGCTGGCTCCCACCTACTTTGCCGTCCTCGAGCCATTGCGATATACGAGTACATACGCGACAATATCGGGAAATTATGTACCTACGCAATTGAGAGTACAATATCGATCAGCAATGCCGCACAGACTTTTGCGCGCCGAAATATGCGTGCGACAGCTTTAACCTAACCACTTCGGTGGAAAGCGGATTTCTGTTCAATACGGTGTCAGGGGTACCAGGGAAGACGGGGCCGAGCTTTGTTTGATTTCGGGTGGATGAGGTTGGGGTTTTGTTCGTTTTTCTCCATCTAAGGTTCGTGCCTAGAGTTCAGCTGTATGTAGTGTTTCGACAAAAGTTTTGTTGACTTAGAGGCAAACATTCCTAGCTTGTATTGGGCATCGAGTTAATTTGGCTTGGCATGACGGCCTTTACGATCGACTTTTTATGTATGTCTGCATTTATCTGCAATTGTCGGAGGGCAAACAAAATAATAATAGTACAATATGCATCGAAAGAAGAGAAAAACGAATTTCGGTTGTTGGTCTGGACCAAATTCCATCCGCGGTTGTTCTGTTGTTCTGTCCGAAGCAGGTTGATTGAGTTCCGCATGACGAACAAACTACTGACTGTGTGGTCTAGATTAACACGTTTTCCGGAGCCAATACAAGACCGGCGTTTCCTCCACCCTGGGCAAATCTCCAGAGTACATTTCTCTCCACCCCATGTGAATTCTGAAGACTTTTGGACATTCTATCCGTCTATCCGCCGGTGGGTCCATGGCAAGCATGGAGACAATAATAGTTTTCGGGGGAATTGATTGATTGTCATCCATCGGGAAATACGCACGGGTCGCCGATGGCACCAAGGCAAGAGATCTACACAGATCTGTTGTGTAGTCTTCCCTAGCGGCAAGACCTCAGCCTCTCGAGATATCACATGAAATCCATGAATGTCGAAAGCCCAACTCTTTGCTCTCGGGCAATCGATGACACTAAACTATGGATTGCACCCGACCCGCCGCGATAGAAGACAAGAGAGTGCTCACCCGTGCTCATCAAAAACCATCATACCTTTGTGGCAAAATCTATAACCTGTTGCCGTCGTAGCACCAGCAACATACACACCGGCCTCACCCACTCCCAACCCCAACTCAAACCGCACCTTCGGAGGATTCTCGAAGCGCCATTTCTTGAACTCATTCGGCCTCGTCACCTCCGCAGATGCCGCACTGGACGACAACACCAAGCCTCCGACAACCAGATGCAACCTCATCTTGCGCTTGTGCCTGCTCACTGACGACAGCGGTTGCTTGAGAGTAGACCCGTGTATACACAAGCGTGGCGTAAGATGCCCCGATCGTCGCAAGGAACCTGAAATACGCTCTTCCTCGATTTTGTTAATGCTGTTGCGGTAAACGATGAATGAGTGTGAACGTGGGTGGGGCTGCTTTACAGCAGCACGAGGTTGCGCGGGAAGTCGGCAAAAAAAAAAAACGCAGACTACTTGCCCTTTCTAAAATTCGAAGAATGTGCTTGTTGGTTGGAAAGTGCATTGGACCGCGTGCATCTGGCCGTTTCGGACAAAAACGTGCTGTGTGGCCCGGTGCTATGTCGCGTTGTTAGATATACACATATCCACTGAGCTAAACAGTCAGCGCTGACTCAAGCGGTTCATCGGCTTACAGGCGGGGATATGTGTCTTCATCGTTGACGACTGGTGATGTATACCATGACTTTCAGGTGTGTATCCCAGACTTTTTCTCATTCCTGAAAAAAGGCGTCAAGATGGCTCCCATAGGGATTCGAACCCTGGTTGTACTTTTGTTAGCCAATTGTTAAACCATTTGTCTAGTCAGCGGCTGACTATTTATCTCAGTGGATAGAGCGAGCTCCACCTCGCGCCTCTCCCCCTTGCTCCTCTCGCGCTCCATCTCCACGTGGGCGTCCCTCACCACAGTCTCAAGGGTACGCAACGTCAGGACATCATGGGCAAGCAGTATTCCTGAGCGGGCAAAGCCCTGTTGTTCAGCGATGGCCTCAGCTGTCGCCTTGGCCGCTTGCGCCACCATGTGTGCGACGCTGCTGGGGTCGTTGAAGGTAGCTGTTTTACCCTGGCTGGAGGGTGATGGCTGGCTGCCGGTAGGTGGGACTGGGTTGCCGGCTGATGGTGGTTGGGCGTAGGTGACTTCACCCTCGTTGATCCTGTTTGCTTCAAGTTCGGCTTGTACTCGTTGCTGGACGATCTCCTCCACTTTTTGCTGTAGCTCTTCCCCGCAAAGGGCGGAGAGGTCGATGCCCTCCATGGTTTGTGTTGTTGTGGGAGTCTACCGATTGCGCGTGACTGCACAACCCCCGGAAGGCTACGCCCGCGCGCAGATACCGTGATATCGTCGCACTAGTGAACCCTGTGGGTAAACCAGAGTCAGACAGCCTAACAGCTGTTCGAACCCTGGTTGTACTTTTGTTAGATAGTCTATGCACGGATCCACTGAGCTGAATAGTCAGCCGCTGACTAGACAAATGGTTTAACAATTGGTTAACAAAAGTACAACCAGGGTTCGAATCCTGGTGGGAGCCATCGTGACGCCTCTTTTAAGGAATGAGGTAAAAGTCTGGGGTACACACCTGAAAGCCATGGTACACATCACCAATCGTCAACGATGAAGACATATATCCCCGCCTGTAAGCCGATGAACCGCTTGAGTCAGCGCTGACTGTTTAGCTCAGTGGATATGTGTGTATCTAACAAAAGTACAACCAGGGTTCGAACAGCTGTTAGGCTGTCTGACTCTGGTTTACCCACAGGGTTCACTAGTGCGACGATATCACGGTATCTGCGCGCGGGCGTAGCCTTCCGGGGGTTGTGCAGTCACGCGCAATCGGTAGACTCCCACAACAACACAAACCATGGAGGGCATCGACCTCTCCGCCCTTTGCGGGGAAGAGCTACAGCAAAAAGTGGAGGAGATCGTCCAGCAACGAGTACAAGCCGAACTTGAAGCAAACAGGATCAACGAGGGTGAAGTCACCTACGCCCAACCACCATCAGCCGGCAACCCAGTCCCACCTACCGGCAGCCAGCCATCACCCTCCAGCCAGGGTAAAACAGCTACCTTCAACGACCCCAGCAGCGTCGCACACATGGTGGCGCAAGCGGCCAAGGCGACAGCTGAGGCCATCGCTGAACAACAGGGCTTTGCCCGCTCAGGAATACTGCTTGCCCATGATGTCCTGACGTTGCGTACCCTTGAGACTGTGGTGAGGGACGCCCACGTGGAGATGGAGCGCGAGAGGAGCAAGGGGGAGAGGCGCGAGGTGGAGCTCGCTCTATCCACTGAGATAAATAGTCAGCCGCTGACTAGACAAATGGTTTAACAATTGGCTAACAAAAGTACAACCAGGGTTCGAATCCCTATGGGAGCCATCTTGACGCCTTTTTTCAGGAATGAGAAAAAGTCTGGGATACACACCTGAAAGTCATGGTATACATCACCAGTCGTCAACGATGAAGACACATATCCCCGCCTGTAAGCCGATGAACCGCTTGAGTCAGCGCTGACTGTTTAGCTCAGTGGATATGTGTGTATCTAACAAAAGTACAACCAGGGTTCGAACAGCTGTTAGGCTGTCTGACTCTGGTTTACCCACAGGGTTCACTAGTGCGACGATATCACGGTATCTGCGCGCGGGCGTAGCCTTCCGGGGGTTGTGCAGTCACGCGCAATCGGTAGACTCCCACAACAACACAAACCATGGAGGGCATCGACCTCTCCGCCCTTTGCGGGGAAGAGCTACAGCAAAAAGTGGAGGAGATCGTCCAGCAACGAGTACAAGCCGAACTTGAAGCAAACAGGATCAACGAGGGTGAAGTCACCTACGCCCAACCACCATCAGCCGGCAACCCAGTCCCACCTACCGGCAGCCAGCCATCACCCTCCAGCCAGGGTAAAACAGCTACCTTCAACGACCCCAGCAGCGTCGCACACATGGTGGCGCAAGCGGCCAAGGCGACAGCTGAGGCCATCGCTGA